ACAAACAAGTATGATATGCCATTTGCACCATTCACAGGAGTAAACCACCATTTGCAATCAATACAATTTGGATGTGCACTTTTACAAGATGAGACAGAGGTGACATTTTTGTGGTTGTTTGAGACATGGCTTGAAGCAATGGGAGGACGTCATCCAGTTTCCATTATTACTGATCAAGACTTGGCAATGAAAGGAGCAATTGCCAAGATTTTTCCTAACACTCGCCATCGGTTATGCCTTTGGCATATTAAGAAGAAGTTTGCAGAAAAATTGTCACATGTGTACTTCAAGAAGTCCAAATTCAAAATTCAGATGAAGAAATGTATTCGGTCAACATACAAGATAGAGGAATTTGAAGAAAAGTGGAAGGAATTGATGAAAGAATGTGAATTGGCTAATGATGACTGGTTGAATAGTTTATATGATATACGTTCTTCTTGGGTTCCTGTTTATAATCGTGACATATTTTTTGCAGGAATGAACACTACTGGACGTAGTGAGGGTATTAATTCTTTTTTTGATGGATTCGTTACACCGACAATAAATCTTAGAGAGTTTGTTGTCAAATATGAGCAAGCATTAAAGAGGATCATGGATAGAGAAAGTGATGAAGATTTTGAATCAGAACACAAGTATCGCATTGTGAATGAAGGAGAATTCCTTTTGAAACACGCAGCGAAGTTTTACACTAGAAATGTTTTCAACAAGTTTAAGGATGAATGGAGTAAAGTTACTCTCTACAAAGTTGAAGAAATTCCATGTGACAACGAATATCATGCATACCTAGTGAAAACAAAACTTGGAGAGCATGAAGAGTTTGTGGTGAAGTTAAATTTACAAACATACAAAGGTATGTGTGAATGCCAAAATTTTGAGTTTGTTGGAATACTTTGTCGACATTTGTTGAAAGTATTTGTTCGCCTTGATATAGATACACTACCTGACCATTTTATTCTTCCAAGATGGAGACAAGAAGCAAACAAATTTAGGATAATGGATTTTAAAAGTTTGGTGACAAATGATGGTAAAGAAGAATCAGAGGCTTTACGACTTAGCCATATGTGTCATCAAGCAACAAAGTTGGCTTGCATTGCAGCATCTTCAAATGAGGCATACACAACGTTTATGGAAGCTATAAATGAATTGTCCAAGAAACTGTCAGACAATTCTACTCAGCATGCAACAATTCCTTCCTCAACAATAGGTGATCCATGTAGTACTAATATTGATTCCTCTCAATTGTTGCTTTTGGACCCTAATATCTCACAAACTAAGGGTAGAAAGAAGGACAATATTAGCGGTTCAAAAAGGATAAAAAGTGGTATTGAGTTGGCTCAAAACAAGAAGAAAAGAAAGTGTGCATTATGCAAAAAGATAGCACAACATGACAAAAGAAATTGTCCATCAAATCTGAAAAGAAGAAAGAATGAATCAACGAATCTATGTAAGTTGGTTCACTTTGTTTTTATTTTATTTTTTTATATTTCTAATAGTAAGGTCAAAAGCTTATGTTTAATTTGATTATTATGAATCTAAATTCAGGCAATGAAGAGTCAGAAGACTTGTGCCAAGATATGGAGAGTGATGACCAAGAATATTGTTA